TTTTTAGTTTATTGGATAGCTTAAACTCAGTTGTAGTTGGTGGATCGGTTCATTGTGCTTGTTTTATTATATTTATATAGTATACGTATCATATTTAGGCATAACTTTTTCTGTTCAAAATAATGATGGCCTCTCGCCGATTCATTGCCATTCGAATTTTCGTGTCATTATTTTTGTTTCCAAGCATATATTTGGGATGTAGTTTACAATGCTGGTGTTATGTCTCTAGGAAAATAAGATCCTGCAGTATCAATTCTTTAGCACTGCCAGAAATTGAGTAGGCATTTTGTTTTTGATTTACTAACTTACTCGACGCGAGCTTGGCGTGTTGGCCCATTTTATAGTATGAAAACTACGTTCAACCATAATATTTTTTTTCAATGTGAATAGATTTGTACATTAACCTTTTGGTGATGTGGTTTGTTTTTTTCTCAGATGTTCGTATTTTGACAAATCATGGTAATATGTTCTGTTCTGTTTAAAGTTTGTGATCAGTGCTAAAGTTAGTGTACGCTCAGTTTTGTAGCTCATTGTCAAAGGTGTGAATGGTTTATTTATGCGTAACCAGCCCTGGGACAATAGTCTCCAGACCGGGGATAGAGGGACTGTTATTAGATCAATTAAAAAACTTTTTTTTCATTAGTAACTACCACCAATAAATTGCATAAAGAATAAACCGATAATTTTTTGTGTCATGTAATGAATATCTATTCAGGTGCTTTCAAGGTTTATTCAGCAATAATTTCCATGCTTTCATAAACTATTTATCAAGATACATTCAGAACTAAGATATACATGTATTTATATTTGATTCATTATGACAGGTCCCAGTAAAACATTCACACGGGGGTGACAAGCCAAAACACAAAAAACAGACACTGAACAAAGAAGATCTCAAGAAGCTTACGGTGAGTACTCGTAGTACATATGTGTGGTGTCGAAATATAACCATTGCACTTTTGTAAATAAGAAACACTATATTGACTAAATTGGGCAATTGGGTTAAAACGTATAATGTATGTCAATTTTGTGCCGATGTAGGAAAGCATCTTAGAAGAATACTTGAAGAATGTTGATGTGACTGAGGTCATTAGCCGTATCAAAGAGATGCGAGTGCCCAGGAAACAAATGTCATCCATGGTATGCCAATTAATGGTGAAATCATTGGAAAAGGATGACGATGATGGGGCAGCTAGGGAACTTGTCAGTAAATTGATAAAAGAACTTAAAAGTAATGGTCTGGTTACAGAAGATCAGTGTATGGAGGTAAGAATTGTTGATTTTGTATAATATTTGTGGTTTCAGTGACCAATAAGCAAAGATTTATTGAAAACTCAATCGCAACCAAGTCTATAAAAACTTCCCATTATTTGCAGACATCTGACCTTAGATATGTTGAGATCGTATTAGTTGTGGCTAGTGTATGGCACATTGTGACAAATATGTCAAAGGCTATGAACAAAAATATATTTGATAATTACAAGTTTAATTTTGAACTTTTAAAGACGATGGTAATTATAAAATGTCTTCTCTATTGCAGGGTTTCACATCTCTGCTGGAGCAGTTACCCGAACTAGAAACAGAGATGCCATTAGTGAAATCATCCACTGCTGGCTTTGCAGCTCGTGCTATCAATAACAAAGTGATCACACTCAGTGATTTGGCAGTACCAATGCAGAATGGCAACTGCTACCCATTGTTTTTGCTGACTCTACAGCAATTGCACAAATTGAAAGACAAAGAGTGGTTGGTTCAGTTATTCAACGAGAGTAAAATAAATATGCAGTCTATGCTGCCAGGTAATAATCTTTCATTTATAACAGTGCATTATCAAGGG